ATAGCAAATGCAAATTGGTGATAAATAAAAAGGTGTTTTAATTTATCAATTTTGACTAGATCAAAATAATAATTCACATCGTTAGGCATCATGATTGGGAACTTGACGAGTTGCACACAAAAGGAAAATTAGAAGCTTGTGATTTGTCAATTGATTAATTTAATAAGCGTTGGATAAATTTTTATCCATTAATTGGTTTGCTTATTTATAGGGTCGATTGAATTAATTAATTTATGGATCGAATTTAATTAAATGAATTAATTAAATATTGGACTGGGTCAGAAGATATGCCAAGCCATTTAGGCTTATATAAATAAGTAGTTAGGGTTTAGAAGTTGTAGAGAATTTTATTTTCTTGCTAACATAAGAGGAGAAAACCCTGGTTCCATACAATCTTGTTCTCTGTGTGGAATTCCATTAGAGGCTGGACAATTAGACAGCTATGAGTGACATATCAAAATTGCTGAAAGAAAAGAAAAGCAAAGGAGTTTGTAGTTTTTGCAAAAGGTATAATTTCTATCACAATTTCTACCTAAACACAAATCAAATCAAATCCTTGGTAAAAATTGAAATTTGTTTTATTTTCCGCTGTGCATGAGAAGTAAATGCCTAACTTCAACAATGTGGCTCAATTCTTTCCTATCCTATAATGGTGTAACCACAATAATGGATACCTCAAAAGTAATTGTAGTTGAAGTTACTGTTAAACACATAATCACCATCAAACTCCACATAAATACCATGTGTCGAAAAGGCAAGCCACTATTTAAAACAAGGATCGTACTAAGCGATGAAACGAAAGCTACGGTGTTTGCAAGAGTGAAACTCTTATACGATTTTGGATGAAGATGCGCCATTACATATTCTCGTGGCCGGTGAAAATAATATTTTGCCTTGTCTTGCAAGGGACCACACGGAAGGGTCACTCTCACTTGGAAAGCCATTGTATCAATCAAAATTGGGACCACCATTAGGACATTGCACTTCTTAGTTAACCATTTGATAGGCTAAGTTTGAGGATTGATGGAGTTGCAGGCTTTAGACTGAATAAAGATCTTAATGGAGAAATAATTATTAGTATCACTCAAATCTATAAGAGTTAGCTCCAAAATGTCCAATGCTGTGTAGCCATTTGCATTCACATCTATACTGGTAATTTCCATTCAATATTGGTCTGTCTGCATATAGATAAATTCTTATATATATTTGCATATAAGCCATTTTTCTAAAATGCTCACATATGCTCTATGCATTTAGGATATGCTTGTGATAATGTGGTTAAATGTCTTCTTATAAAGAGTTTATACATGAGGTAGAAGATGGTACCTAGAATAGTAGCAAGTTGGGTTATGGAGGTTATGGATGGTGCATGTATCAAAGTTGAGTTCAAGGAATGGGATGATGGTTACCGAGGACCAATAGGCTGTGTTGGAATATATATCCCAATAAACGAGAAGGAATTGACACAAACAATGTACATTTCACAGTCTATGTATAGAAGTTTTTCATTACAATACGAAAAGTTCATTGTGAGGATGTTTACCTTTCTATGGGTAGAGGGTTGGCTAATTGTAGAAAAATGTTATGCATGCTTTCTTTGCATAGAGCCATCTCTTGTGCCCTAGCTTCCATCCTCACGAGCGAAGCGAAAATGCTTGTCCATGCTCATCGGAGTAACCTTATGACAACGTTTTCTTCGTTAAAATATTACATTTTGGCGGCCTAAATTTAAGTTATCCTAGCTATCCTTTTCATTCTTCTATTCCATTGTCTCCAAGGATTGTCTTCGAAAAATGGTGAGACTTTCATTCGCGCTCCTCCTTATATTCTCGTTGGATCCACTTCTACTCATATTTCTCGGATTTTTATGTTCCTCACAAGTTTTCTTCTCAAAGTTTTTGAAAGGTTTCCCATCGATGGTGTCAAAATTTTGACTTAAAAATAGAAATTATTTTTTAAAGACTGATAGTTTTCCCTCCAAACTTTGGCATTATTTTCTCTCGTTTAGGGGTTTTGGATGCGTTTTGGAAGTCAATTGTTTGTTTGCAAAGCGAAAGATGGAAATTATGGTGTTATTTGGCTAGAAATTGTTACTCGATCAAAGATTGTTTTACAATCTCCGAGATTTTGACCATCGAGACAGTTTCTTTTTCAAAAAGTGAATCTTTAGATATAGGGTTTTCAAGTTATTTTGCCTTTATGTAATTTATTTATTGGCTTTTAAATCATTTTTATGAGTTGATATTTCCTCATCATTATGTCGAAGTTATATTTAGGTCCAATTTCCAAGGATTGTTGAGGTTTTTGCTTTGTAATATCCATCTAATAATCCACTGCTCAGCTGTCTTTCTCTCCTTACTTGAGCGATGGTGTCATCTAGGCAAACCCTAGGTCGAATTTTGAGTTTTACACGATCCAAGACTTCTATTTTCACCCATCTATAAATACAAAAGTATTGTATGAGGATTTTAAAGTTGCTACATTATTCTTTCATTGCTAACCATATTCATAACATCTTCAAAGAGATCCAAGGTGCAATTAATTGGTGATTCCATCTACATCAATCTTGTGATCAGGTAACCATTGTTTTGGAAAAAATATCGAATTTACATTACCCAAAACACCATTCTTCTTTAATCTTTTGAGGAAGGAACTCTCTCATTGGGGATTGAGAGAAGTGGATGTCCATCATAGTGAATTGGACAAAAACAGGCGATTCTTGGAATTTCACTTGGTAATACAATCAGTTAAGGACCAGGAGGCTGTAGTGGACAATAGATTAGGCTACAAGAGGTGGATCAGGAAGTCTAATAGGAAATTAGAGCTATCTATGGTAGTAAATTGCGAGACTAGAACAACGGTTCTATTGGGTGCGGAGTTTGGTATAACTTATTCTTGCTGAATTGGTATAGTGGACATCATTGGCTTGGTCCTCGAGTTTTTCCCACATTGGGTTTCTCCATCAACAAATTATGAGTTGTGTTTTTTTTTTTTTTTACATATTACAAATCGACAGTTCAACATATGATTAACTGGACTTGTATGTTTAACCACCTAAACAACAATTAATTAGTTTCTTATCACTGTTAATTGTATTAATTTAGCACATAAGGTCGAATTGGTAACTTGGAACGTAAACTTTGTAGCGCATCACGTTAGCCTAACTTTCTAGCGTATCTAAGCATATTATAATTTTCATATATAATTGTAATAATCACTAAGGCTGTAAGGGTACAATTACCATTCACTAATAAACATACTATCTACAACAAATATAATAATTTTTTTTAATACATATACATTATAATTTAATAAATTTCAAATTATGAAGTGTTGTAAAAGGTAAGTTTATTATGATTTAGATGTGAATGACAATTATACCCCTGCAGCCCTAGATATTATTACTATTTATCCCTTGTTCTGCCATATAAATGCAGGGATTTGGTTCTTAATAAAACACAAATAAGTCTATTGACTTCTCTCTGATCTCTTCTCTTTTCTTTAATTTTATAACAGGTTATTAGTACGATAGCTTAATTTTTCAAAATTTAGTGAAGGTAATAATTTTTATTGGCATGAATATTTATCACGTATACCAAAATTAATTTGGAAACATGTAAAATATTTCAATATATATATACATCATAATGAGATTGCTTCTTTTTCTCTACTTTCCATCGGCATGCATATTAATTCTAATTCATGTTTGTATGTGTAATCTAAACACATATTAATTTACATTTTTTATTCATATACGACAATTTTTTTCACGTATTATTCAATATTAATTCCGTCTTTTGAGTCTGTTACATATTAGTTCTATCTTTAATTTCTATATATGTGAAATTCATATGCAAGTTTAGTATCTTTTGCATGTTGTAAAAGATTTAGCCAATTTTGCTAACTTCTATATATGGAGATTCTTTTTTTAATGGATGTTTAGTAATTAATTTTTCTATATAAATTTATATCATGTCTATATGGTAATTAAATATTTTTAAATATTCTTCTACGAACTTCAAATTAAGAATATATATATATATATATATATATATACAAGGCAGTAGTCTATTTAAATAGTTTACATATTTACGTGTCTAAATAAATGGCAGTGAATGGGGAAGCAATTCTTGGCTGACTGTCCAATTTAGTGGAGTATTTCTGATTTCATGTAACCATTGATTCAATATTCCTTAACAAATTTGATAGAGACGTGATTGTATTTGTTGCTAATTCTTGGTTTTGCTGTTGGAATTTTATCCTTCCTTTTGCAGAGGTAAAATTTGAATTAATCTATTTGAACAGTGTTGGTTGACAAACATTGCAGACAATGTTGGAGGTTGCAAAATCAGTATCAATGATTTAAAAAACAGTTTTTTAACAATTTTATAAATGGATGGATGTGATGATGCCAAAAAAGATTGTCATCTATGATTATACAAATAAGATTGTACGAGTAGCATGATTTACGACATTGAGCTACCATCAGGTGGAAGAATATATTGGGATTGTTGTTTACTTTTTCTATTTTGTTTATTATCCTTTGTCGTATTCCTTTGTTTGGGCTGCATTGCCTCATTGCTTGGATAGTGTTGCTAATTTTTTAATTGTATTTCTGTTTGATTGGATAGGTTTGATCATTAAAATAAGATGTATGCTCGGTTGTGCTAAAAAGTTAGTAGAAGCTACTTTTTGTTGATAATTTTTGGTTATGTTTCAGATTCTATCCTTGCTGCGAGTAGAAGATGTTTGTATTTTCACTTTCTAAGCATCAGTGGTGCTGTAGACTGTAGTCAATCCTGTTGGCATTCAATTGGAAGTGGTTCATTCTTGATCTTTTCCTGTTGATATTTGGTTTGGTTTAAATAAATACCTCTTGTCTTTGAAGCTCATTTTTGTAGACCATGATTATCATAATATTTGATGAAGATTTTTGTTCATTAAGTGGGTCAAATAACAAAAGGGCCCAAGAAGTATATTTATCCTTTAGTTTTTGAGCTTATTTTCCAGGGATTGGCTGAATAAAAGACAACTACTGAGGGCCCAAACTTTTAAAGTTCGACGTAGGACTCAAAATCTCAAGTCTGACCTTGAATCTACCACAAAGCACTGCTAGTCAAACCATTGACCTTCCCTCTTTCTCTCTTTCCAAACAGATAAATTTCCACTGCCTTACTGCATTTCAAATTACTGAATTCAGATAAACTGAGATTTACATTTATTTATTTAGTGTGTGTGTGTGTGCTATTCTATATTTTGTGGGCAGTGGATGGCGTTGGTGTTGCAGGCGAAAGACACTCTGGAGTGGGCTTATAGAGGAGAAGGTTTTGTCAATCTAGTTCTTGCTTATTGTGGAAAATCCCCTGATTTTGTATGTTCTCTCTTTTTCTTTACTCTTTCCTACTATTGAATCGATTAATTTCGGGTTTTATTTTACCTTATTCTGTAAACTTTAAGGTATCCCTCTTGATATAGCATATCAATACCGGGTTTAATCACTTTAATTTTTTTATGAGAGAAAGACCCTTTTAGTAATTTATTGTTATTACTTTGATCAGGAAAAACTGATTTACTTTTAAAGTAATTAATGAAATATTTAGTTTTTCTTCTTCCAACAATTGATCATTCAAGTTATTATAATTATGTATAAAACCTTAACCGAGCTGTACACAGGTTTACCTGAGGAAGTGGTTTTCTGGAGTTGCCTTCTTGTGAACCACTCTGGTGCATGATAAATATTTTTGGGGAGAAAGTTAAAATGAAAAAAGAGGAATGCTGCATGTTTCAAATATTGAATGGGGACTGTTGTGAAAAATTGATAAATGAAATGAGCACATTAAATAGGAAGGCAAAAGATATCCTAAGCACTAGAAAAGTAAATAGCTTGATGATTAATTTGTTAAACCTGAGGGAGAATCATTTGTTGGATTAAAGACCAATATGAAATTACATTATACTCTAAATAAGGTATGGAACACATAGAAAGAACATCGAACCGTGAAGTTTGTGTTATGTTTAAATAGTTTAATCATATTAATATCTGAATTCCGACATTTTATGTCCCATCTAGGTTGGAAAAGTTCTACGGATGAGAAAAGTTCCAAAGTATGGATCTGAATATGAGAATGGTCATTCTGCCCTTACTATGCATGAATGCCTCCTATGGGGGGAACTTGAAGGCCTTGTTTCAGCACCTACGGGAGAAATTGCAGAGCAATTATATTTGCAGCAAGTAATGTGCCCATTGTTGGGTTCCAAACATGTTGATGCCGGGGTAATTATTATAGCCTTGTAGGTTCTGAAACAATGTCATTTTTTATTTTTTTTTATTTTTGTAGTCGTATCAAGTCCTTATTCCACCTTAATTTTTGTTTCTTTCAATATACCTTATGATCATTACCATCCTCATGATCTTTAAATTGGCTCAATTGAAAATTATACTGCTACATTTTGCCTTACTGCTATACTGCATACTTACCCGGGGGCAATATTTGTTATAATTGTCACTGTTCACCAACTATTTTATCTTTACTTACCACACCATGTGCTTCTTACCCTTCCAATGATGACTTGATGAGGTTTACACTTAGCTGATATGGTTTGTAACATGCTTTTATGAGGCATAAACTTCAGTTTGTTATAGTGTTTGCAAATTATATAAGCAGCTTTAACAATTAACCTCTATTCTTGCTGTTTTTGGAAGTGACATGGAATAAAAGGTTTATTATGTCTCCTTGCTTCAAATTTAACAATTGACTGATAAATGAATTATTGTCTAATGAAGAAACATGAAATTTATGACGGGTTGTTTTGTAATCAATATCATAGTTCATAAAATAATCATCATAGTCAGGCTAACTGACCGTGGATCTTCTTTTGTGCAATTGGCAGATTCGTGTTCTTGTGACCAGAGAATTTTTGGAGGCAGTTGAAAATAAGGGCCCATTTGATTGCAAAGATGAAATTTGGATGGAAAGAAAATAAATTTCAGGGAATTAAATTGTCTAAAAAAAATTTCCTGGAAATTGTAAATTATTGTGTTTAATTGGTATAATTTTCCATGTGAAAAATATTGAAATAAAAGTGTTTTTTGTTGTTCGTTTGGCTTTGTTTTACATAAAAATCGACAATTAAAGGGATAGAATATATAGAGATGGCAATATGAACCGTCAAAACCGAAAACCGCGGTTAACCGAACCGAATGGGCCGAAAAAAATCGAACCGATGGTGCAATGGGGCGGATATGGTTTTGATTTTAATGAACCGGTTCGTAATGGTGCGGGTATGGTATTTATGTCGTCGAATCGAAACCGAACCGATTACCCGCTAAAAAAAAAAAAAAAAAAAACACAATTGAATTGATAGGCTTTACACTACTTTTCTATCCAGACCAAAACAAAATCCCTCCCTTTCTCATTACATCTATCTGACTCATTCGGCCAGCCCACTTATCATTAGCCCATAATAGCATTAGTATGACAATATATAAATGCAAACCCTACTCTCCAAAAACCACAAACTCACGCACGGTTCCATTGCCTTTACGATCCAAGTCATCGTCGCCTTCGAAAATTTGTTACATTTGTTAGCCATTCTATTACTGCTGATTATGTAAAAACAGAGTTCGATATTTTTCTAGACGTGCCAGTATTACCAAGGATGAATAGGAATCAACTTTGAATGCTGAATCCAACAAATTCGTTCAAGTGACAATGTGGTCGATTTATTCACAAAAACACCGCCAACATCTACATTCAGGAAATTAGTTCATGAGATTGGAATGCGTCGACTCAAAGATCTTTAGTGATCAATATCGGAGGGAGTAGCTCTACTCTTTTTACTTCGCTTATGTTTTGTCTCACTGAATTTTCCTAACAAGGTTTTAATGAGGCAACATTTATTTTTAGTACTCCAAAATAACTAAACTATTTTTCCTTCGTTTGGTTTTTTTTTTCTATTGGATTTTTATCAAATAAGGTTTTAACGAGGCAGATATTTTATAATGTGTCATTCAAGGGGTTGTTGTAAAATGTAAGTTTATTAGGGTTTAAATGTGAATGACAATTATACCCCTACAGCCCTAAAAATTATTACTATTGTATCCCTAATTCTGGCCTATAAATATAGGGATTTAGTTCTTAATAAAATAAACAAAAATCTATTGACTTCACTCTGCTCTCTTTTTTTTTTTCTTCACTTTTATAACAGGAAGAAAATTTTAATTGACCAACTTTTCTCTTTGTCTGATTTTCGCTTCCATTCCCCCTAAATGTTCCCAAAAAATTTCACTATCCCATTTGAAATTTCTTATCTCACAATTTTCCATCCCCACATTTCATTTTAAGAATTTATCCCTATACCAAATCCCTAGCTCCATTGCCATCTCATCCACCAGGCCTGTGACAGATTCTCTCCATTTCCATTCCGGACATGACTTTCCCTTCTTCAACCAATAAAAATTCACGAAAAAAATTCCAGATTTGTTTTTCATCTACGTAGTTTCTGCTGGGTCTTGATTTTAAGTTTGCGTAAGTAAATATCAGGAGTGGTGGAGATGAAAAAGCGTAGATTGTGAGGCTTCGGTTTGATTTAGTGATTCACATATTTTCTCTTTTGGTTTCGAAGCTAATACTTATTTATTGATGATATTATTTGAACTCAATTTGATGCCGGTAAGGCAAGCAGCGTGTTTTGGAAATAGATGCAATGCGTGAATGAATCACTCGGTAAGGATGAAAATTTTGATATATTTGTCCCTTTAGATTTTGATGAAAAACTGAATTCAGTTTTTGTTTATACCAGATGTTAGAATCAATTCGTTTCTCAATCATCGTGAATATGTTAATCTTTTCATACCCACAAAAATCGAGAAAATCTGTTGGTACTCAATTTTCACTTATAACTAACGAAAATGGGAATTTTTGTGAAAAATTTTCAATGTAGTGCTCACTTATTTTGCTGTTAATGATAATCCTCGTTCATCAGATTTTACCCTTCACTAGGGACGCTTCATTTCACGTTGAAATCGCTGCTTCAATTCAAAGGAGCCGGCTCAAAACCCAGGTTAAATAATTTCTTTAAATCCCCATTTTATAAATTTATTTCATGTTTACATGTGGAAAGCTCATATTTTCTGGGTATTATTCTTTTCCATAGTAAATCGTAATGAAGGAAAATGATGATAAAAATGCCTCATACAGTATCACGACTCTTTAGGGAAAATGATCCCCGAAGAGTAGTTTGACTTCGGTTTGCATTTGTACAAGATGTCGTTATTAAACAGTAGGGATTTGATTGAAATTGTGAGTTTTATGCCACATACTGAATTGTGGACGTATGCATTGTGTCTAAATTCATAAATGTTGGATGATGCTGGTATCAAGCGAAGGAAGTATCAAATACTAATGAGACTCCTATGACTATAATTTTTTTAAGTCCATTTGATTGTGAAGATGAAATTTGGATAAAAAGAAAATGAATTCTAAGGAATTGAATTGTCTAGAATTGTTTTTCTGTTAATTGTAAATTATTGTGTTTGATTGGTATAATTTTTCCACGTGAAAAATGTTGAAATAAAAGTTTTTTTTTTGTGTTCATTTGGTTTTTTTTTACATGAAAATTGTCAATTAAAGGGATATAATTTACTGGTATTGGAGATAAAATTTGTTTCTATTACCAAAAAAACCAAGAAAATCATTTATTTTTTGGTGTTGTTTGACTTTGTTTTACATGAAAATTATCAATTAATGAGAAATATTTTTTATAATAATTCTTAGAGTTTGTTTCCATTGCCAACAATATATATATATATATATAAAATAAAATAAGCGAAAAAAAAATGCTACAGTGATTCCAATTCAAGGAAGACCTAGAAAATGGCTTATGTGGCAAGAAACTTGGAAATGGAATTCTAGAACTTGTTTGAGAGTGATTTTGAGAATTGATTTTTTTATTGTTAGGAGAAAAGTGAGGTCCACCTGTAAGAGAAGAAGTTAAATATGAAGGCTGGAATAATGAAATAACGGTCAAAAAATCAAATTTTTGGATGAAAAAATCGCTCCCAAACAGGCATCTGGGGAAAATTTTGGCTATCAAACACCGTTAAAATTGAAGTTGGAATTGATTTTTCATTTTTTGGAAAAAAAAATTCACCTATCAAACATACTCTAATTATTTTTGGATTGGAGTGTCCTACGTAGGGTTAAATCCATCAGTGACCATCAAACTTTATACTTAGTGTTACCATTGTTATCCAATTTGATTTGATTTTATCAAAATCATACAATTTCATATACCGTGGTCAACCAATTTCATTATAACATTTCTTCATGGCCACTCAACTCTTTTTCACCATATTCATTAATTAATTTTAAAATGGGTAAAACGATAAGCTTGCATTATATATAAAATAAATAAAATTAAAATTAAAATTAAAAATAAAACTTATTTTAAAAGAAATGTTTCTAAAATAAAATAAAAACATATTTTAAAAAAAAGTTACTTAGAAAAATAAAATAAACTAAAAATTTAATCTAAAAAAAATGTTCCTTAAAGAAAATAAAATAAAAAATATTTCGAAGAAAATGTTTTTTAAACCAAAATAAAAGTTTATTTGAAAAAAGAGTCTTTAAAATAAATAAAACTTAGTTAAAAAAAAAATTAGTTAGAAAAATAAAAAAAAATAAAAAGTTATTTTAAAAAACTTCTTTTAAAAAATAAAATAAAATAAAATAAAAACTTATTTAAAAATGCTTCTATAATAAAATAAAAATTAAACTTATTTTTAAAAAAAGACATTATTTATAAAAATAAAAATAAAATAAAAAGTTATTTTAAAAAAGGTTCCTTTAAAAAATAAAATGAAAACTTATTTAAAAAATGATTTAAAAATACATAGAAACTTGTTTTAATAAAAGTTTACTTCGAAAAATAAAATATAATATAAAATTATTTTTAAAAAATGTTTTTAAAATAACAAAAATTATTTTAATTTATTTTACGTATCCAATGCAAAGTTACCATTTTACTAATTTTTAAAATTAGTGAAAAGAAGTTGGGTGATCATGGTGGAATGTTATATGACATTGGGTGGCTGTAAACGTTCTATGAAATTTGAGTCATTGTAAAGCAAAATCAACTGAATGGTCATGGTGATAGTAAATATAAAATTGAATGGCTATGATGAAACAAAATTAGATTGGCTGGTCATTGTATCACTAAGTATAAAGTTGGATTGTCATTGGTGAATTTAATCCTTTATATAACATTTCACTATGGTCACCTAATTTCATATAATGTTTCACTATAGTCACTAAACTACTTTTCACCATTTTCATTAATTTTAAAAGGGTTAAAATGGCAAATTTGTATTATATATAAAAAATAAATTTTAAAAAATATAGATGGTGTTTGACACTCATTTTTATGAAAAAATGAATTTTAGAATAATAAATTGATGAAAAATATGTGGATGAAAAGTAAGAATTTTTTTTTGATTTACGTGTAATATTATTTTAATGAAAAATGTATGGTTAAAAATAAGAGAGAGAAAATTGTATTTTGATAAAAATGAGAATCAAATAGGATCATAATAAAAACTTATTTAAAAAATAAAATAAAATAAAAATTTGTTTAAAAATAGTTACTTCAAAAAATAAAACAAAAAGTTAGGCTAAAGAAAGTTCTTTAAAAAAAATGAAATAAAATAAAAAGTTATTTGAAGAACGCTTTTAAAATAAAATGAAAATTTATACAAAAAAATGTTTTTGAAATAAAATAAAAACTAATTTTAAAAAAATGTTATTTACAAAATTAAAATAACAAAAATTTATTTTAAAAAAGTTCCATAAAAAATAAAATAAAATAAAAACTTGTTTAAAATACATTTTTAAAATAAAATAAACACCTTTAAAAAGGTTACTTGGAAAAAAAATTTTAAAAATTAAAATTAAAAAAAACTTTTATTTTTATTTTTAAAAATTTATTTTTCATAT